ATATATATATATATATAAAAATAATCATCACATTGACATCAGTTATTACTGATATAGCAACCACATATTTGCATTTTCTGGCTTAAACAATTCAAGTTTCGATTTTAGTTCTCTGAGCTATTTTTAAAGAGACAGTTTCCTCAAACAGAATGGTTTATTGTCAGTGTATAGTTTGACACCCACCATAAGCCTGACAAGTCCCTTTTTCAAGGGGTTAGTAATGTAAGAATTTCAATAATATTTTAATAGCTGTCTCACATATGAACTTCACAACAAAAGGGAAAAATTAGATTTTGTTTGTTTTGTGTTCCCTTTCTACACATTGAAGCTACATAAGTCATGGTGGCTTAAAATATCAATGGTTGCTTTGAATGGATGGTTTAATTTAATTTAAACAAGTTCTAAATTTACCTTTGAATTACCAACCTCCATCTCCAGAACTCAGCTCACTAAAATAAAAAAAAAAATTCTATTGAAATTAAACCACCTGTGAAACCTTGTTAGTTTAGTATATTGAATCAGTATTAAAGGCACTGCATGTCTATGCTATTATCCCAACAGAATACTTCACACGTGCAGCAATACGGCTTGTTTTCCAAAACACCAAGCAATTGTTTTAAGGAATATTATAGCCAGTATTATGAAAGTGACTGAGCTTTTTTCAAAATCTCAATATTTGAGTTGAATGAACGAGAAAAGAGCAGAGCTTTATCCTGCTGTCACGGATCCACAGGAACTGTGTTATCCTCCAGCTTTTAAATAGTCCCTTGGGGAAATCCTATCCAAGAGGTTCCACCCTACCTAAAGTGCAGGCCATGTGACCTCACAGCCTCTTAGAACGAGCCTCCGGGCTTGAGCACTCTTGCATTACATCATGAGCTCCACCCACCAAGTCCAACTTAAATAAAACTCTTGCTGTACACGTACTCACGTACCACAGGAAGTATTTGCAGACACACTAGGGAGCTTTCTTCAAAACACAGAATTTATTAGCCAATTGAAAGACAGCATCTGGACATGGTTAGGTTAGCATACAGAAATAAAGGTTAAGACCTAGTGCATTCTGACCAAGCAAGCCTTCCACCTAGCCAAGCTCCCATGGAATTCCTTGCTGGCTTTAGCTCTCTTGTCAGTCTAAGGCAGTGGTCATCAAGCAGTAGATCAGGATCTACTGGTAGATCTTGGAGCCTCTGACTGGTTTGGCCAAGAGACTATCAAGTGCAGCACTTCAACTGCCCCTCCTCCCACTGCAGCGCATCTCTTACCCTTTGCGTTGGAGCATCCTATATCCTATCGTCACAGAACGGGGGTGTGGGGCACCACAGGGTTTGGAATGGAGGGAGTTTGCTGGCTGCTTTTGAGAGTGGTACAGGGCCTGGGCAGGGGTGACCCTGCCTTAGCCACACTGCATCACCCCACAGGAGCCACCATTGGTAAGCAGTGTCCAGCTGAAGCCTGCATTCTGAATCCTTGTCCCAGTCATGTACCCCGTCCTGCACCCCAAGCCCTTGCTCTAGCCCTGAGTCCCCCACTAGACCCAAATTCCCTTACAGAGCCTTACCCTGAACCCCCTCCTGCATCCCAACCCTTGCCCCAGGCTCAGCTCAGAGCCCCTCTCACACTCCAAATCCCTTAGCCCTAAAACCAGAGCCTGCACTCCAACCCTGACCCACCTGATGAAAGGGAGGAAGGATGGGGGAGGGAAGAAGGTCGGAGTAAGCAGCAGTGGGGTCTTGGAGAAGGGGCACGGAGGACGTGGAGCAAAGGTATTTGGGTTTGAGGCTGATCCTGGATTGCACTTAAATTCAAAAAGTAATCTCATACTTTAAAAGGTTGGAGACCACTGGTCTTAAGATGGAACTCTGCCTCTCAGAAAGGGCAGCCCTTAACCTAGCCACCTGACAACTTTCCCCATTGTTCTCAAGCTGCCGCCTATGCTCTGCTTCCCTGATTGGGGAGGGACGGAATCACCTTCCCTAGAGGTGCTGCAAATATCCTGGCCATTGGGGTTCCTCTTGTCTTTTCAGATTTTCAATTGATATTGGCCAGTTTCAGACCCTTCATTTCACCCCTGACAGCTGTAACACACAAACTCCTTATTTCTCTTACTCTGCTCCAAGAGCAGCTTTAACCCTTTTACACCCATTGGGCAGCGATGCAAAGCACAAAGGCATGCCAAGACTTCTTAAACATGACAGACAAATCCCACTTCACCACATTCAGCTTCATTTTCTTCATTAAACATGACTGTTTATTTTCTCTCACTCTGTTTAGCAAATATGACTACTGTAGTCAAAAAGAAAATACTGGCCTTGTACCTAAAGCTGATTTACCATTTAAACATAATCTGCTTCCAGGTGGCTGTCTGACCACTTGTCATTCAATGGTTCAACTTTCCAGTTCTGAAAGTCAATATGCACTTCAGAATGGGTCTCTTTCAGTCCTGGTATTGAATAGTTGTCAAAACTAACGAATTATAGATGTCTGTGTCATAAAAGCATTCATTTAGTAAAACTTTGTGACATTTAGGAGTCTTGGCTAAATGCCAACTTAAGTAGTTCTGTTCTGCTCACCTATAATTTTAGCTAAAGTTGCTGCTGTTCTCTTTTGTTCTGTAATTCTTTTAAGGAAGGGAAATGAACATGTATTGCTGTAACAGAATGGCTTCTAGGTTTATGCCCAGACATGGCTACATTTCAGAGACATGAATGTCAACTGATTCATCAAAGGTATGATTGTTTAAACAAGCTTTGATTCCATGCAAGTGTATATTGGTTTTGTTTTGTGACCATTGAACAAATACTTTTATATTGAATAATATTCACAAACATTAATATTTGGAATAAATGTGCAGAGAGCCAAGATATATCCTTATTTAAATAAGAGATATTTTGGCTTTCATATGAATCGATTAAGAATGAACTTTTCCTTAAGAATGAAAAACGCAATTGAAGACTGCTTCCTACTGAGATCCAGACTACAGAATTTAGCCAGTATAAAAATTGGTGATTAAAACAGGCAACTTAAAATTAGTCGTCCCAGATGTAAGACATGTTAACCTGTTTCTACTGACAGAGAAAAATAAAATTACAAACACATATAAGAACCCCCCCCACACACAACTTCATGATGTAAAGATGTTTTAAATTCCCCTCTATGTAGCCTTCCCTATGGGCTTTAAGTCTTTCAGAAAATGAATCCCTGTATTTCAGGAAGCAAAGAGCCACCTAATAATTAAAGTAGGTTTCCAGTTCTGCAATCCTAGTAGGCTACTAGTGTGAAATTCCAACTTGTGAGATGAATAAAGGGGTCATTGCACTGAGATTACTGTATCTTACTATAGAGCTCCCACTGACCTTGCTTGCCCAATACACTTTATAACTCTCCTTCTGCAAAAGCCATAGCACCTAAATCTATGTAGCTGGGTTGACACAATGTCAGTCGAGACACTGTGTTGCTTACTAGGGATGTTAAGTAGAGATTAATAAGCTAATTGAGTAGTCGATTAAACTTCCATAGACTAGTCAATAAGGGGGGTAGCTCCTGGGGGTGGCATGAGCCCGGGACCTCTGCTTTTTAAATGTACTAAGAGCAGACTTGGGGAGGAGGTGATAGGGGAGGCACCCCATGCTGTGGCTCTGCTTTTTAAACGTAGTAAAAGCCTTGCTCTTACGTCATTTAAAAAGCAGAGCTGCAGCAATCTGGGACACGAAACAAGCCAGGAGCTCATGCCAGGTCCCCCACTGTACCTCTGCCTCCTACCTTCACAGAGACAGTGCTAGAGGGAACCACCTTTATAGTGAATATGCAAATAAAATATTACCAATACACCAAAAGTTTATGAATGGGTTTGCCAGTCCCATTTAAAAAAAAAAAAAAATTGGGAACCACTGGACTACTGACTAGTCGCTTACATCCCTATTGCTTACATTGTCTGTTACTGCCCTTCACTTTCAGAAACCATCCCACAGTGCCACACGCTGGCAGTTAAATTGGTGAAAGCGCTCCTGGTGAAGATGAGCACTGCCAACTCAAGGAGCGTAGCGTGGACACAAAAAAACAATTCAGTGATTGCGGTGGCTGTGTGTCAACATAACAGGTTAACTTAATTTTATAGACTTGCTCTGAGTCTTAGGCTATGCCTATACTAAAGAGCTTTCAGCAGCGCTGTAAGCTCTATCATGTAGCTACTCTAAGGCTGTGTCTACATTGGCATGATTTTGCGCAAACACATGCTGCCTGTCTACACTGGCGGGGAGTTCTTGCGTAAGAACACTGACGTTCTAATGTGTGAAATCAGTGCTTCTTGCGCAAGAACTATGATGCTCCCGCTCAGGAAAAAGCCCTCTTGCGCAACTGTTCTTGAGCAAGAGGCCGGTGTAGACAGGCAACATGAATTTCTTGCGCAAGAAAGCCCAATGGCTAAAATGGCCATCGGAGCTTTCTTGCGCAAGAGAGCATCTACACTGGCGCGGATGCTTTTGCACAAAAGCACATCTCTTGCGCAAAAGCACATGCCAGTGTAGATGCTCTCTTGTGCAAATACTTTAACGCAAAAACTCTTGCGTTAAAAGTATTTGCGCAAAATCTTGCCAAGGTAGACGTAGCCTAAATGGAAGGGAGAGAGTTCTCGTGTCAGCTTAATTATTCCAGATCCTGCAAGCAGGACTAGATATTTCTCCTGCCAACATAATGCTGTTCACACCGCTGCTTAAATCAGGATAAATTATGTTTATTAGCCACACTATTCTCCAGAAAACACTACAGAGCAACAACTTATGTTGATTTAAGCTGTAGTGCAGCTGTAGCCTTAAATAGAGTA